GGGGCGACCCCGGCAGCCACCCCGCCCCGCGGGGCGAGCGCTGGGGCCGGGCCGGCTTTGAAACCCGACACTCTGAGCGAGGCGTGGGGCCGCCCCCCGCCCCGCGGGGCCGCGCCTTAAATGCGGGCGGCGGCGGCGGCGGCCGCGCCGTCGGGAGGAGGTGCCGGGCCGAGGGAGCCGGCTGAGCCCCCTCGCCGCTGCCCGGCGGCCGCACGGCCCCATGGACTTCTACGAGGCGCATCCCTCCGGCAAGGTGGATTTCGGCAGGTAAGGGCGGCTCCCGGCGAGCTCGGCTGCGGCCACCCCGGAGTAGCCGAAACTGGGTGCTGAAAGAGTTAAACAGAGCTCGAGGTGTGTGTGTTCGGTAACTTCGTGGTGTTGAATACAAGACGTCGCCTTCAAGCGGATCCCAGGCTGTGTTTAAGGACGCTGGTCTGTTCCTGCACTTGTCACCGTGTCCGTCTGCTGACAGTGGCCATGGACACTTAAATGCCAGAAAATAGGGGAGCTCGGAAGTGATTTGATTTCAAGAACCAATTATAAAATTTCTATACTTTCAATGATCCGTGACTCAAATGCATTCATTTCCTAGGGAATGCGTAGGATTTTAAATCCGACTTTTTGTTTCAATATGCTACTTTCTAGGAAGAGAATTCCAGTGCAGCAGCTCACTAACTCATGCCTGTGATTAGGGTTTTTCATAGATGTGTTTATTTCCAGTGACTCTCGGTAGACGAGGCCATAACAATATGGGTACATGCACTTTGCTTTTCTGGCACACAGAAGCCAGTGACCGAAATCCTCTGTGCTGCCTCAGCATTAGAGGTGTGCTCCGYGCAGGAGCTGGCACGGCACGACTGGGCAGCTCTGAACGTCACCAGGTAAATTGCRGGGTGAGGGACAGGACGGCTGGTCCTGGATCAGTGGAGTAAGTAGGAATAGTTTCTGTGGTCTGAACACAGAACATTACAGGCTGGGTAATCCTGCCAGGCAGAGAGAGACTCTGCCTTTTGTAGTATTCCTCTGCTTTCACTGTGGTCACATAGAAAGTAAAACTGTGCAGTAATTAGAACAGCTGTAGGAAACTTAYTTTCCTCCTCTCCTGGATATCTGCTGCTCTGTAAGCAGATCAGCATGCAAGTTATCTTCTAAAACTTAAGAAAAAACACGTGTGCCTTCTCTTACTAATATGTTCTCATTTTCCTGAAAGAAGATGTGGCTCTAAACGATTGAGTTCTTGTCAAACTTTACACTTTTCTTGATAATTCTGCAGATAACTTTTTCTATGCTGTTTTAGGTGGGCAGGTTACCTGTCRGGCAATGTGCATTGTATTAGGGTGTTTCAATGACAAAGAAATCACACAAAAATATTAGGTTTTGTATTTGCTAGGCTTCTGGATAGTTGCTTTTTTTTTGTTCTCAATATTTCTGATTCTCTGTTGATTTTTCTCTTCCCGTCTGAGTATTGTGTTGCTGGAGGGAATCAGCTTAGTGGTCTTGTGAGTTCCAGCAGGGCTGACTTAGCCCGTCAGCTTGGCAGGGGTGGATCAAGTGAGTGCACCCAGGTTATTTCAGTTGCCTTTTTTTCTACGAGTGAGGATTTTCCCATTTACCATGGATATTTGAGGTTTCTTTTATCGCATTTTTAAGAACAGGAGCTTGTACCGTGTACCTAAAGAAAATTCTGCTTTGTCTTCCGAGAGTCACATTTGCTTTGATAGAAAGTAGCTGTTGTTAATGCCAGAGGTATCTGCGTTTGCGTGTCTGTGTCAGTGTGTACCCAATATTCACATGAAGACCTAAAGAAAGGGATTGGTACAAGAACTTGTCTCTTTTGTCATTGTTATTTGCTTTAGTTCCAACTACATAATACTGATTTATAGCTACGAAGTGCTCTTACAAGTCCTGGAAACTCCCACTTGCTTTCAGTGCCCTCAGCACAGCCAAGCTGTCCGATGGCAGCTCAGCGGGGTGCCTTGTGTAACTGATAAAGCAGCGAACGCCTAATTTGCCTTGCAATCTTTTTGGTAGAAGGTGGTGATAAATGTAGGATACTGCTAAGCTGATTATAGTGATTAGAGTATTTCACAACTTTCTATTTCACAACTTTTTGTATTTGTAGTATATTTCAGTCTCTGAATGTATCTGGGTAAATAGATGAAAAGAATGATTCTCTACTAGGAAAAGGGTGTGAAGGTGGTGGAGAACTGCTTTTTGTGGGGTTAGTTGTTTTTAAATAATTACTTTTTTATTTTAAACAATTGTCAGTTCACTAAAAATATCAACTTCGGGATTATTTAAGAAAATAAAAAAGCCTCCTCTTCTCCCCCAACCACTCTGCAGTAAACTAATGTTACACTTGCACCGCAAAGAAAACTGAACTGGTTTAAAAGTCAGATTTAAACAACATTAACTTGAGCTGCCTTAAAAGATGAAGCATGTATTTTACCAGTAGAGCCAAAAAAATATTAAGTTGTCTATGTTAGCAGGATAACATTTTCTACATGTCTTGTTTTTGCCTGTGGACAGAATGTCCAAGGCCTTTTTAGGAGTCAATTTGTTCCCAGCAATTTCAAAATGTTCAGAGTTAATATAATTTTTTAATATRTATTCTATAATGCAAAGGGAATAATTCAGATTTTTCCTTTTTCTTCACTCATCTGAGTGTGTTTCAAACTAGTATGGTARATGATTTCAACAGTAACCAGGCAGTAAGCTTTTTTGTTTCCCTTGTCAAAAAAAAACCCACTACCAAATTGATTTTAACTCCCCTTTACAAATTTCCCTATGCCATCTGTAACTATTTGGTACCATCTAGGTGGTGTTTTTAGATATATTCTGACARKGAAGAYRCTTGAAAGTGCTGGAGAAAAGAGAWGTTTTGTTAATTSACATTTTCTAGTWCCACATGGGAACTGGATCAGGTTTTAGCTTGGCAGTATTGCATAGGATGTGCTGGAGGCCTTGTAGGTGGTTGGCYAGTAAGTGTGTAACTCTTTCTGGGTTGGATTCAGAGTATGAGCAGGTCAGTTGTACTCTTACACGGGCTTTGCATTTTTATATAGGCTGGTGTAATCCATCTGAGTCTGGTCAAATTAATCCTGATYTACACTGAGCATGAGTGAGATCAGAATTAAGTTTCTGGGCTTTTTGTGTTGACTAATCCTTGCAGTACACTGAATCAGAATAKGAACCCCATGAAACTGGACCAGCTAATTTTGAAGGACTTTAGGAATGTTTCTCATGTGTTCTAACAGGTGGCTTTTTTATTTCTTCTTCTTTTATGATTCAAGTAAAAGACCTGTGCTGGTTCTTCAGAATGACTCTCTCTACTCTCAGAGACGTCCTTACACCAATGAAGATGAGGCCTGGAAAACTTTTCTTGAAAATCCCCTCACAGCAGCTACCAAAGCTATGATGAGCATCAATGGGGATGAAGACAGTGCAGCTGCCCTCGGACTGCTCTATGATTACTACAAGGTAGATTGGCGTGGGTTCGCTCTGGCAGCCAGCAGAGCTCGTGGTTCCACCTGTGGAAAAGATGTCATTTGCCATAGGATTGTACAGTAGCTGTGAACAGATCACAAGGACTTTAAATGATGTGGGTTTTAAGTGGAAAAAAGCCCTACATCTCTCTTTCTGAAAATTTATTTTTAGCTCAGTAAAGTAAGAGTCTCTAAATCTTGATGTAAAAGTTAAGTAGAACTTTGCTACTTTTCAACTTGGGTAACACTTTTTCTTTTAACCCCAGGTTCTGCAAGAGGCAATATGTTATAGAAATAGTCATAAGAATGGCACTTCAGGACCATATTATTGTGTGAATATAAATAACGTGGATTTGCTCCCATGATCCCTATTCTGGTGGACTGTTGGTTTTGGCTGGGGCTTTGTTACGTTACCTTAGTCTCAGCTGACACTAAGATTTGCTGGTATGTGGGGCAGAAGTGTCCATCTGAAGGAATTTCTCTCTACATCCCTCTAACCCTCAGTGAGCTTCAGTTGCTGTAATCTGTTAATCCTTTGACAGCTGTGGTTGTCTTCTCCAATGTTCATGGTCTTCTGGGAGACATATGYCTTCCTAGACTCTCACAGGTCAGCTGAGCAGTCAAACAGTGAACTTTCTGGTCTGCATGGGGTATTTGCTGAGCTTTGTTTCTGAATATCAAAAGTATAAGGCAGGGTAGTTACTCCAGCCAGGTCAGTGGAGACCAGCAGGCATTTCCAGCCTGGGAGGGGTTCTGCTTGTGTTATGATGCCTGCGTTATGGTGGCCTGGCTCACCGGGTGGAGACGCTTGTTTTTGCTTTGCTGAGCATGCAGGAAGGCCAGGAGGCTGACTTGGCTCTCCTGCTTGGCACTTTGGCTTGTCTTTTAACAGTAGTGAGTACAGTTGCTAGCCTCAGTTATATTCTTCAAGCAGAAGGAGAGATTACCTGGTGCTGACAAAATCCTTGCCTGCCCTTTTAAGAGTTGAACATGTCTTACATATCAAAATATTCTTGTAATGCTTAATATGGAGATTAACACTCCACACACACACGACAAAATGCCACAGACTCACTGATGTGGATGTTATTCAGCTAATTTTGTGAGAAAACTGGCTTTGTGCTTGTGCTTGCTATGCTTTTGGGAAAAAAAAAATACCCCAACAACAATATCTTTCACCAGAACAATTTTAATCCACAAAATCAATTTTGATTTCTAAACCTGTAGGTTAAAAAAAGAACATTGATGTTGATCCTTCATGCTTGGCAAAGCAAAAGGGATTTGCTGTACATTAATGCCTAAATCAGGGTTTCCTCTCTTGTTTGGGTACCAGTGGGTGTACAGAAAAGACTGGTGGAAGAACAGGTGTTCTTGGGTACAGAACTTGGGTAAAACAAAATGGCTACAGGTTGAAAGATTTATTGAGGGCTGTTATGGAGTAATGTTATGKAGGGATGACATCGAAGCATTTCTAATACACCCCCTCTGCATATTAAAGGCAGCCGATGAGGTCACCTTCTTATAAAAAAACCAAAACAATAAAACCAAACAACTTTTGTTTCCTTCCATTTGACTACTGGGCTTGCTCAACTGTGGTTAATAAGGCCTTGCAGGAAACAAAGTTTGGATAAAAATTTGTTTGGGAGTGTTGGCCAAATGCAGCTTGGAAGACCCTTGCTTTTCAGTGACTGGTTATTGTTGGCCTCCCAGTAGTCTCTAGCTAGAGGTTCTTCAAATTTTGCTGGTTACTGTGAGAAATCCAACTGTTCTGGTGTTTCTGGGGATTCCAGGTTATGTGTAAGATCGAGGACATAGTTTTCAGTCGGGGCTGTGTAGAGAGGCACACTGTGCAGATGTGCCCTCAGTCTTTGAGTTCGCACCAAAGTGTCAATGCCCCACCTTGGACCCAGGCTGGCAAATGGAGGCAAGATGTGAACAGGCTTCAGTGAAGGAAAGTGGTGGGAGTTCACTCCTCCGTACATACATCAGAAGGTGTTTGCTTTGTGCATTCAGGAGGCGTGATGAGGGTGACAGAAGTCCTGGGCCCTATGTGTGGGTTGGCAGAGGAGCTTGTGTGGACTTGCTGCATGGCTGAGGGGACCTGAGCACTGTGGGCTTGTGCCAGTGGCTGTGAGAGCTGTTTGGGTTGCAGGGGTGCTAACTCTGCACTCCATCCCAGGAACTGAGCTACCACAGCTCCAAGAGTTYACCTTCTGCTGTGTGCCTTGGCCTTGCAGTGCAGCCAGGAAAATGGCATKTGTGTGGGCAAGGTGACTTGTTTGGTCGATGTTGTGTTTTCAGGGCAAATCCTGTCGGTGGCATAAAAGGAGCAATACTGACCTGTCTTAATTACAGAGTGCTGGTTACATTTTGTTTATAAAAAATTTAATACAGTATGGGCCCGAGTGTTTTGTGTGGCCATGCACAAATGAGCTGTAGTATTTTAACATGCTTGTTGGACCTGGTGCTCCCCAAATCCCCTGAGGAGAAAGGAGAGCCATAAGTGGTCTTAGAGGGAATGGCCTAGAGAGCACATGTCCATGGAGAAATGGCTGTGGAGCAGCATCCTTTCACAGGCTTTGAGCTCATCCAGCAAGCTGAACTCTGCCAGCCTAGAGAGGAGAGAACCTACACTGCCAACAAACCTTGGGAAACCACCTGTTGGTCTTGCTTACACCAGTGCTGGTTCTCCAGCTGTGGATGGATGTTTTTTTGCACTGGTTTTCTCACCACCTGGTGCTGGCAGGAGCCCAGGGCTGACACGGGTGGCTGAGTTGGCTCCATGGGGATCTATGGGGCATCTCCTGGGGTGAGCCTGGCATCCCAAGGCTGTGTGAACATGGGTTAAGCTGTAATGCAAATAATGACTGGAATCAGAAAGGAATGCTCCCTTAATTTAACCAAAATGTAAGGAGCTTTTTTTTTTTTTTTGTATGTGAGGAAGAACTGAATTATAGTATGTCTTAAATTTGCCAGGTTCCAAGGGAGAGGAGATCTTCAACAGCTAAACCGGAAGTAGAACATCCTGAACAAGACCATAGCAAAAGGTAATGGTTTTYATTATTGCTTCTCTGTTTCCTCCCTTCCTTCCTAGACCACCAAGGCTGCTGAAAGAAAGTAACTTGCTGCTCTATGGTGGTGTGCTGGAAGAGAGAAACTGTTAGCTTTTRCTCTGTGCCTCAGATTCCTGGACTGCCCTGGGAACAGGATGGGGATTGGACCATTGTGTGGAGAGTCAAGGCTCAAGCTGCTGCTCGTCACYATCCATCTGCCTTTAGTGTACTAATGTCATACAATCAGCCTAGCAAAAGCTCTTCTCTAACATTARGCACAGCCTGGTAACGCAGGCACCTCTTCCCCAGGCTGTGGAGGTCACTGATAACCCTTTTTATTTTTCATGCAATTGCTTCAGTTGCTCTCTGCTGGTTTTTGTTCTGCTGTTTCTGCTGTTGCTGTTTCATGCATGGTCCAGTTGAGAAGGGTTTCGAAGTGTTTGTGACTTGGTTTTGTATTCTTTGGGGACTTCCTTTGTATCCTCTGGATATTCTATCTTTCTTCCACTTTCTGCCTTCCCTCTCCTGTGCCTCTCAAGCAGATGATAGTAATTAAGTGAATATTACAAATGTGAGGTTCACTCAACCCACACTTCCACTCCTGCCATCCTCTTCCTTTGGCCAGACTAGAATGCTTTAAGGACTTGAGGTGAGGTTTCGTGGTCTGGCTGAGCTGACTGRATGACTTGTTTTTGAGAAGAGCAGGCTGGTTCCCAGCCATGTGCTCCCACTGCTCCTCTTGAACCAGATTGGGGCTCACACTGACCYGTCACCAAACAGGGAAGGAAAAGGTGGCTAGTTTTCTGCCAGTCTAGCAAGCTGAACTGGTTCACCAAGGAGGCAGGGGAATGTCAGAATCAGTGCAAAGGAGAGGGCAGGACCACTTTGTGGGGAGGGAGAAAGGGAGGGCAGACTGACTTAGTGGCTACTAGCTGTGAGGTCACCTCAGCCACAGATCTCAGTGTTGTCCAGGCAGAAATGAGTGTGGTGGGGTGGAGAGCAGCAACTTATGTAAACCACTCCCAGGAGCCTTGGTGTGGATTGTCTTGGGGGATTRTGCATAGGTGTAATTTCTCTGTTAGTGCTTCCCGGGTGGTGTGCAATCCTGGGGCAGAGGAGCAGCAGCCTTGCTGCCAATCCTTCTCCCTCTGCCAAAGAGCAGCTTCATGGAGTCTATATGTGCCAATGGATGGTGTGAAGTGCTTCATTTTGGACTGCTGTTTTCTAAGCAGTGATGRTCTGGGCTGCAAACCCTCGCCCTTTGCTCCAGGGTAATTCATCTCCAAGGTGGGATGGTTAGCAGTGGGTGAGGTGTTTTGGGGTTTTTTTTCAATGAGTTTCTCAGCTGTTCAGATTAGGATTAAGCTGTTCTGCAGAAGCAGAAGAGCTGGTGTCAGCTATCTTGTCCAAAAGGCTGAAAAGTTTTTCTACCTCTTGTTTAATGAGAAAATAAGCTGTATAATTTATGCATTGTTTCTTTTTGCCCTTTTAAGGAACAGCATCCCAAATGTGACTGAACAGTCTCTCATTTCTGCTGGAGAAAACAGAGTCCAGGTTCTGAAAAATGTGCCWTTCAATATTGTCCTTCCACACACGCCCCAGATGGGCATGGACAAGCGAGGCCACCTCACAACCCCTGACACAACGGTCACCGTTTCTATTGCCACAATGCCCACCCATTCCATCAAAACGGAGACACAGCCCCATGGCTTTGCCATCCCACCGAGCGTGTACCACCCTGAGCCCCCYGAGAGGGTGGTGGTCTTCGACAGGAACCTCAATCCTGACCAGTTCAGTTCCAACACCCAGCCTCAAAACTCCCAGAGGCGGACACCAGACTCCACCTTCTCGGAGACTTTCAAGGAGGGTGTGCAAGAGGTACCAAGAGAGGCAGTTACTCTGCTTTTTGTGTGTGTGTGTGTATTGAWCTGGTTAGAGAGATCCAATTCCATCTTTAACTGTTCTTGTTACATGAGCCAGCAATCTGTCCAGTGGCTTAGAAGTAGAAGACTTTCTCAGAAAGGTGCATAATTAAAACTTAGTAAATAAAACCTTCACAACATGTAATCATTATCAAAAGCAAATGACTAATCTTACTAGTGACAGAGGCTTTGGCTTGCAGAGTGTGGAAATAGTTATCTCAATCCACAGAGCCAGGTTTTGCAAGAGTTCAGCACTCTGTAGTGCCTTTGCAGGTACCAAAGTGAAGTGACTATCTGTAAGCTTCCTTACTGCCAGTTTCTAGGTGTGGTGTGTGTCAGTGGAAAACAGTTGGATTATGTAGGGCCCTTGAGTGAGAAAATCTGTGGGTTTTGTTTTATGATGCCAGCTGAAAATAGCAGCGTAACCATGTTTTGAATTTGTAGGCCAGACCTCAAAGATCTGTGTAGCTATGCCCATTGAGATTTGGGAAAGTGTTAAAATTTTGCCTTAAGCTGACTCGGGAGGTTTACGAGATGTTGTGCTTAGTTGACACCCAAAAGTTTTGGATTAAAACACTCTTCAAGTCTCCTGTTTGTTCAAACCAAAAATCATTTGTTATCTGGTGAGCAATTTGCCTGACAAAAGTTCCGTGGTAAGGAGTATCTGTTTAATCTTGACTTTTCTTGTTGCTGCATTGTTAATTATTGTTTTGTCTACCCCAGGTTTTCTTTCCTACTGAACTGAATCTCCGAATGGCCAACATGAATTCAGAAGATTATGTTTTTGACAGCATTTCTGGGTAATGCTTTAAGGCCTCCATTTGCCCTTATCTTCCTATTCTCTRAAAGTTGTCCATGAGCAAGCAGTATGACCCATGACATTTTGCACCAAGTCACAGTGGGATTTGAAGGGGCGGGGGGGGGCGGCCGTGGGTCTCTCAACCACAATTATGTCTGCTCATTTGAATTTCACAGTTGAAACTTGTATCTTTAAAGATACRGTTACATCTTTAAAGAAAACAAATACTTGAAGGAAAACTAGCTGCAGGGTTGGAAATACCATCCAGTTTCAGTTATTGTCCTTGCATCAGTTCCCTGTCCATGGGAAGGTGCAGTGCTGTCTGCCAGTGGTCTGGGAGTTTGCTTCCACCTGTACCCCYTCCTTGGTCTGCTTGTCTCAATCAGCTGGAAATCTACAGCAGAAATAAGAGAAATGAAACTCATCTCAACTCCAGAGGAGGGGAGTTGTTTGATAGTTGCAGTTGACCAAGAGAGCCATGGCCAATGAGTAGCTTATTAGCTTGTGAGATTAATTAAATTGCTTATAGATACTTTTCTGTTCTGCGAGAGCAACTCGCTGCTCTCAGCCTGAATAGGGACCTTCCGGTCTTGCCTGCTGATGTGTCCTAGGATTTAGCTTGCCAAGAACTTCTCTGAAATTCATTCATGAAGGAAATGGTTGAAAAAGGGGCTCATCCTGTTTTCCAACTTCCTTGCCTGTTGATGGCTTAATGAGTCAACTAAAGACTTTGGAATTTCTCCAAATTAAATGTGGAACRTTTAATCAGCTTTCCAGGAAAATGCCTTAGCAATCACTACCCTCTTCACTCTGTAGGAATAACTTTGAATACACTCTGGAAGCCTCCAAGTCCCTCCGACAGAAGCCTGGRGACAGCACAATGACTTACCTGAATAAAGGTCAATTTTACCCAATCACACTGAAAGAAGTCAGCAGCAGTGAAGGAATTCATCACCCCATCAGTAAAGTCCGAGTAAGTGGCAGCTTTTGTGGTTTCTTGGGAAGGAGGGTGTAACCTCAAACTCTCCCAAAGTGCAGTAATCTAGACCAGAGCATCAGCACAAAGGCCAGCTTACCCGCGCTCTTACGTCAGTGTTCGTTCCTTTGCTGTCCACCTACTTCCAGACCAACCCATCCTGCCTCAGACTGTTAAGAAGTGGTGTCAGCACTTGTGTRAAGGTGATGCAACACCTGGAATGAGATCCTTGAATTCTAGTTAGGAGAGCAGTTCTGCTCATCTCTGTTTATGACCCAGAAAGTGCTGTTGTCTGCCTTCCTGTTTGGCAACGGTGTGCCAGATTTACCATGGTGCCTCAAGTGGAAAGCCTGAAGCTCCAAAACAAATATACTCTCTGGCCTTTTCTCTTTCAGGGTTTTTGATTTTTTTATGGTTTTGATTTTATTTTTTTTTAATCTTTCCCTCTCTCCTTTCAGAGTGTCATTATGGTTGTGTTTGCTGAAGACAAAACAAGGGAGGATCAGCTCAGGCACTGGAAATACTGGCACTCAAGACAGCACACAGCCAAACAAAGATGCATTGACATAGGTAAGGAACACTCTTATTGTCAAACTTCAGACCTAATTCCTTGGCAAGGTTTGGTTTTCTGCTAAAGCTTTGTTATTTTAAGGAACTTCTGGATCATCCTCTGCTTTCTGTAGATAATAATAGCTTTATTTCTTTTGAAAGCCCATAGAGTTTGTGATAGCTTGGAGCTAATGCTGTAGTTTTTAGGACTCCTTAAAGAGCTGTTTTTTTAGAGGATTTTGATTGGTGGGCTCTAGRGTTTTGTATTGGGAGATCCAACAGCCCCCTCCAAACAAGTTTTTGGGATATCCTGGTGCTTGTAGCTAAATCACAGCTTGCAGTCTCAGTGGCCGTCCTAAATATTGTGTTTATTCCAAGGACAAGATTCTCATAGAAATACCTCAAGAGTAATGATTCTCCTTCCCACAGCTTTGCTCACAACTGGTCTTTGGTACATGTAAAAAAAGAAAACACTGCAAATTTCCACTTGCCTCCAGACAAGGCTGGGGTTGGCTGGGTTCCAGCCTTCTCTGGCTGAAGGCTGKGTTGTACTCCTCGTCCCTTCCTTCTGTGAATCAAAGCAGGGATTAATCACTTGGCACTTAAAGCAGACGCTCATGCAAATCTTTGTTTGTTGTTGAAGGGGTTTTATTGAGAGCTTATGTCTTTGCCATACAGGGTAGAGTTTCCTGCACATAGTACAGAACACCTGATATTTGGGATGTTGGGAGTTTCTAGTTTAGAATTTTTGCAAGTTCCTATTTTCCTCCTTCCTCCTGTTTTTTGAGGGCTTTTTTCTRTGTGAGAACCATTTCCAGCCTTTTTAATGATCCATTCCTAAGTACATTTCAGCYTTTTTTGCCCCCAAGGGGCTGCTGAAAGAGTTACAGTTTCTGGCTCRTCACATTATTAAGGACTCAGGTGATCTCTCCTCTTCCTCTCCCTCATGAATCCTTCTTTCTAACAGCTGACTACAAGGAGAGCTTCAACACCATCAGTAACATTGAGGAGATTGCATACAACGCCATATCCTTCACCTGGGACATCAACGAGGAAGCGAAGGTATGTGACCACGATTATATTTCCTGTCCTTTTAGCAGATTCAGGGGCTGGGGGAAGGGAAGGGTGTGTGGCCTACCTGGTGATTAGCATGTAACAAGTTTGTTTACGCTCTTACATTAGGCAAAACCTTCTGGCTGTTTCTTAAGAGGGTTTGCATGTGCAACTGGGAGAGCTTTGCAACTGCTTTAGGGTTCTTGGCAGAAGTGCCTGCCTGAGAGACAAGTACTGACAGAAGGAAGCACTGAGTGCTTCCCCAGCAGATGAAGAGGTGCAGGAGGTGTGATGGAGCGTAGCTGGGCTTGGCACGGAGCGCAGCCTCCTGGAGGATCCCTGCAGGGATGTGGGGCAGCTGCTCAGGGAGCTCARGCTCTAGCAATGGGCTTGCCTTCCACTGAAGAGGGAGCAGCTCCTGCCTCTGAGCTCCCAAAGCACGTCTTGCTTAAACCACAGATCCCAACACCCACTGACCTATTTCAAACCAGAGCAGCCTCCTGGTGAACTCTGGTTTGATCTTTCCTCAGAACTGTGTGTGCTTTGGCAGGTGTGTAAGTACAGGCCGCTTTCCTAGCTAGCAGCTAACTGCAGCTGTTTGAGCCACTCCAGCTCAAAAGGCTTGTACATCTTCTAGGTTCAAGGAAAGCAGGTCAGAGTGTGGAGCCAACTCAGTTGTAAGGGCTTTTCTCACTGGTTTGTTGCTTGAATCAAAGTGAAGGAGTTTTCTATGGAGAGTTTTATTATTGCCTACGTTTTCTTTAAAAATTGGGAATAGCTTACTTCTGGTTTTGGAGACTGGCTGTTCCCTTGCTAAGTACTAGTAACTGGTACCAGCAAGCAGTACCAGGAGTCACAGCATCATGGGGGAAAGTACTGATGGCTGCAGAGCACCATGTCTAGGGAGAGCCTGGCTTGGCAGGGACGTGGGAACTCTGAGCAAAGAACACAGGTCCTTCTCTGGAGCTGTGTGTGCCACTGCTCTGCAGGAGGAGTCAAGGGCTGGTGTCACTGCACAGAGTTTGCTGTYACCACAAACTGTGCTCTGTCCTGCACAAGGGCTGTGGAGAAAATGTTTTTCTGGAAAATGCTGCTGGGTCTGGGTTTTACCTCTGTGGGAGAAGTTTGGGATGCTTGGCAGAGAGCAGTGAGGAGCTATGTGTGTGTTGCTAGTGAAAGCGCTGCTTTGCAGCGTGTGGGACATTATTTTTGAGGCTGGTGTTGGGTGCCAGGATTCCCTTTTCACCATGTTTGGCTTCAGTGAGGTTGAGAGGCCTGGCAGGGAGGGTCAGCTGCTGGAGGATGCTAAAAGGCTGACAGGATTTCTAACACATGAAGCACTTCACTATGAGAACAAACAGATGATGCTTCAGAAGAGCTGTCAAAAGGAGTCACTAAGTATTATCCTGCTGCCATAGCCAGTCAGATGTTTAACAAACCCAGGAAGTTGGTGTCCATGAGGTATGCAAAGGCTTAGGATTTGCACACAAGGGTGGATCATGCGGACAGAACAACCCAAGTCCTCAAGGRGCTGGAAGCACTTTCTGCAGCTGCCTCTCTGCTGGCTGAGCCACTCTGCAGCAGTAGGGGTGGGCCACTAACCCAGGAGCTGGATTCACAGTTGGTGCTGAAAACTTTGTGGCTGCCCCAAGAAAAGCCATTCCTTCCTCCCAAGTGGCTATTGCCTCRTTACAGACCCGTGAAAGAGTAGTTTCAGTCTGTAGTAAAATTGCCAATAGCATCTTGAAAGGATCTAAGGACCCTCATGGTGATATTTCATCTCAGGGCTGAACTTCATGGGATGAAGTGGTGTGGGGAGAGGTGAGATAGACTGGTTTTGTAGCTACAGAGGCAAATTTGCTTCCAGATTAACAATCTTAATGTGTGAGATCCATATACTGTGAGTCCTGATTTGTATGAGCTTTTAGAGGGGACTGTTGATACCAAATGTGCAAGCCTTGACTCTTGGGATCAGAATCATATTAAGATAAAAATAYTCTTGACTTCAGTATTTAAAGAATTGTCACTTTTAGCAAGTGTTCTGTGTGTTTAAGTGTCTGTTTAACTTCATTTTTTCCCTGAGTGAATGTGTTTTGTCAATGACTGAATTTCTCACCAGWAGAGTTGCAGTTCTTTCTCAACTTCTGTGATCTTATCAGGAGATGTCTGAGCCAATTTCAACAATTTTTATTGCATGGTTCATTTACCTTGTATGCTCTTGCTCTCCCTTTTCTTTTCCCTCCCTGCCCCCCAACCCAGCAGTCTTAAAGTATACGAAGAGAGCAGGGAATAGATAGAGCTGAGTTTCTGATGTTGCAGAAATTCCTTCACAGTAATAAATACAGTGTTTTGCAATTCATAGCAGAAGTGCTGCATAGACAGTATGTTTAGCCAGCCAGCAAGCTTTGATTATTAGAAATTTACTTCCTRAGCCCTGCAGTTACCTGGACCAGAGCCAGGTGATTCTTTTGGGCTTGCAGCTTCTCCCATTTCCCTCTTGCTTTTGCTTCCAGTTTGCTGTGCAGCCRCGTCAAATGGAGTTGATGAGCTTCTGTGTCTGGGATTTCTGATGTGGTTGCTCATCTGGACACACAGGGTRTGTGTCAGATTTAAGGCAGAATTAGCATTTTATCACAAGCAGGTGYCCCTAGCAGCTCTGGGAGCAGTTACTTGCCTTCTTGTGGTGTTGTACATGAATACTGCAGCTCTGCCACTGTCTGTTCAGGAGGATGTCACCTGCCTGAGAGTGCTTTACCGGGCCCTTTGGGGCATTAAGGGGGTTTAGTAAACTGAACCTTTCTGGTGAAGAAATGTTCTTTTCATAAAAGTCATGTGCTCCCTCTGTAGCAAGGAAAATTGTGTGGATTTTRCAGCTGTGCATTTGTAGGATGGGAAAAGGATGTTTGACATGCTCTCAGTAACAAGTATTTCTCATTTCCATATTGCATTGTGCTGGGACAGGCAAGAGCGAGGCCGGGGCTCTGGCCACTGGACACATCAGACCAGCCTGGCTCTGCACGGCTGCAATTGTCCCATAGCTGGCTGCGTTGGTGTGCTCTTCGTGARCCCTTGGGTGTAGAAACCAGGAATATTTCACGCATGACAGACACTTCCCACTCAGGCACCAGACCGTGTCCATGGATTTTAGAGCAAATGTGCTTCTCTCTGGCAGCTCCCCTCTGCCCTCTTCTGTTGTTTTGGGACATCACAGGAGCTGCTGGAAGCAGCCACTTCATAGCAGAGGCTGGTTTAAGTATTCTGACCTTTGCAAGAGTGTGTTCAAGCTGGAAAAGGGCCAGGATCCAAAGCCTCCTTGCTCTGAGATGGTGAAGGGAGCTGAGGGTGGAGAGAAAGGCCAGGCTTTGAAAAAGGGAAACTTCCCTGAAGTGGTGTTGTTGAGATTTGAAGGAGAATGAGGTCAGGGTTAGAAGGATTGTCAGGAGACATTGCAGAGTTGGGAGGTGCTGATTCAGGTGGGTTTCAGGTGTCTGTATTGGAAGTGTGGTCTGATCCCATTACCTAACAGAGATGGGGAGGGGAATAACTGAATGAAGAGACAATCATGCTTTGTGAGAAGAAAAGGGATGAAGGTGAACTGGAAAATTAGTTGATGAACTGGTGAGTTGTTGAATGGGATATTTAAGAAAGCCGGTGTAGCTACTCAATGAGGAGCCATCCTGCTTGAGTGGAAGCATTATCCAATGAGTCTGACGAGATGTGTAGTTGATACTCACTTGCATGCAACAGGTAATGCTGGAGTTACCCTGAGGCTTTTGGAGACTTCAAACAGTTTCCCACCCCATGCTGGATGTCTGCCGTGTTGGGCAGACAGGCAAGGTGGGGTTCTCCTCCAAAGAAGCTTTTAGATGTCTGAACAGAAGCTCGTCATCTTTCGCGTCTATGACTTCATTAGGGACAGAGTGTCTAGAGCTGGAATGCAGCATTCTCTGGAGGTGTCTGGCCCTTCTTGTTGACTGAGCAGACTTGGCTGTCTTTGAAATGTGGGGATGTTAGAAGTAGGGAATTGGAATCCTTGCAGCCCTTTTTGTATCTTTGTCATCCATATATCAGTCAGGAAAAGTGTTTGTAGGTTCAGGTCATGAGTTTTTGAGGCTGGGAGCCATTTCTTCCCCCTCAAACYCTTGTACAGCATGCCAGGTTCTCCTTTTCTTGGATGGTGCCCATTAAAGATCTTTTAATGAAAATTGCAACTATGTGTGTGGTTAAATACACATTTCATATTGCTCTTCATAATGTTGGCTGTTGTCCTGTTATCTCTGCTGTGTTACCCGTTAGGTTGTAAAGCAAATTCTCTGTCCCTTAACTCTGACCTGAGGACATGGCCTGCTCTCAGGTCAGTGGCAGTTGAACAATCTGGACAGATTGGTTTCCCCTGGGTTAACTGGCTTTGCTGGATCCTGCTTTGCTCAAATCCTGTCTGAGCTCCAGCCCTGTGGAGCAGGAGSGTTGGGGCCTCTTGTCTGAACAGGGTGAGTTGCTGTCTGCGCAGTGACTTCAAGAGCCTTSCTGCCCATTTCTGTAGCTCTAACAGTGCTGGGCGCCCCTTCTGAAAAGCAGCATTGCTTCCAGCAGCTCCCAGAGAAGGGCCCCCGTGGAGGTCTCTGGTCTGGCTTGCTTTAGGCTGGGTAATGGGACTGTAGCCAAAAATGATGTCACTGCACATTAAGGGTTCTATTGTCCTCCTACTCGTTCCCTCAAAAAAAAAAAAAATAGGCGTTGTAAGCCAGATGCTCTGTGTGAAAAGACCCTTTCTACTAAAAAGACACTGTGAGAGTGGTGAGAGTCTAACAGGCATTTTGAGCCCAAGAATATCATGACAGCTTTTTGCTGTCTTTTCACCAAAGAGAAGGTCCTGTGATATCTCTTAAGGGATGYCCTGAATGACAGAGCAATTAAACAGTGCTTTTTTTCTTTTTCTTTCTTTTTTTTGTTCAAGAAGAGTGGATTGGTTCTATATTATGGTAATTTGTGTCTAATTTGGGATAGCC